TTCTCACTGTATGAGCACCAACTGATTGATATCAGAATCAGTCCTAGTGTTATACACTATCACCAATCAGTCCTTGTTTAATATATTATCAACAATAGGTCCTAGTGTTATATACAATCAACAATAGGTCCTAGTGTTATATACAATCAACAATAGGTCCTAGTGTTATATACAATCAACAATTGGTCCTAGTGTTATATTACAATCAACAATATGTCCTAGTGTTATATACAATCAACAATAGGTCCTAGTGTTATATACAATCAACAATAGGTCCTAGTGTTATATACAATCAACAATTGGTCCTAGTGTTATATTACAATCAACAATATGTCCTAGTGTTATATACAATCAACAATAGGTCCTAGTGTTATATAGAATCAACAATTGGTCCTAGTGTTATATTACAATCAACAATATGTCCTAGTGTTATATACAATCAACAATAGGTCCTAGTGTTATATACAATCAACAATTGGTCCTAGTCTTATATACAATCAACAATATGTCCTAGTGTTATATACAATCAACAATAGGTCCTAGTGTTATATACAATCAACAATACGGGCCTAGTGTTATATACAATCAACAATAGGTCCTAGTGTTATATACAATCGACACTTGGTCCTAGTGTTATATACAATCAACAATAGGTCCTAGTGTTATATACAATCAACAATACAGGGCCTACTGTTATATACAATCAACAATAGGTCCTAGTGTTATATACAATCAACTGACTGACTGACTGACTGAGTTTGGTTTTAAGCCGCTTTTAGCAATATTCCAGCAACATCACGACGGGGGACACCAGAAATGGGCTTAACACATTGTGCCCATGTGGGGAATCGAACCCGGCTCTTCGGCGTGACGAGCCAACCCTTTAACCACTAGGCTACCCCACCGCCCTTATATACAATCAACAACATGTCCTAGTGTTATATACAATCAACAATACAGGGCCTAGTGTTATATACAATCAACAATAGGTCCTAGTGTTATATACAATCAACAATACAGGGCCTAGTGTTATATACAATCAACAATTGGTCCTAGTGTTATATTACAATCAACAATATGTCCTAGTGTTATATACAATCAACAATAGGTCCTAGTGTTATATAGAATCAACAATTGGTCCTAGTGTTATATTACAATCAACAATAGGTCCTAGTGTTATATACAATCAACAATAGGTCCTAGTGTTATATACAATCAACAATTGGTCCTAGTCTTATATACAATCAACAATATGTCCTAGTGTTATATACAATCAACAATAGGTCCTAGTGTTATATACAATCAACAATACGGGCCTAGTGTTATATACAATCAACAATAGGTCCTAGTGTTATATACAATCGACACTTGGTCCTAGTGTTATATACAATCAACAATAGGTCCTAGTGTTATATACAATCAACAATACAGGGCCTACTGTTATATACAATCAACAATAGGTCCTAGTGTTATATACAATCAACTGACTGACTGACTGACTGAGTTTGGTTTTAAGCCGCTTTTAGCAATATTCCAGCAACATCACGACGGGGGACACCAGAAATGGGCTTAACACATTGTGCCCATGTGGGGAATCGAACCGGCTCTTCGGAGTGACGAGCCAACCCTTTAACCACTAGGCTACCCCACCGCCCTTATATACAATCAACAACATGTCCTAGTGTTATATACAATCAACAATACAGGGCCTAGTGTTATATACAATCAACAATAGGTCCTAGTGTTATATACAATCAACAATAGGTCCTAGTGTTATATACAATCAACAATACAGGGCCTAGTGTTATATACAATCAACAATAGGTCCTAGTGTTATATACAATCAACAATTGGTCCTAGTGGTATATACAATCAACTGATTGATATCAGAATCACTCCTAGTGTTATATAAATCAGACTGGGGGAGAGACTGTTATATTCTCACTGTATAAGCACAAACTGATCGATATCAGAATCAGATTGTTTCATCCGGCTTGCCACTTGACTGACCTAATTCTGTATCAATTCAATCTAATCTACATCTTTCTGTATCTACAATCTGTTTCTATCTAATTCTTGTAAACAACCTTCTTTCTCTATCTAATTCTGTATCAACAATCTAAGCTTTCTTTCTATCAACAAGGTCCTAGTGTTATATCCAATTCAATCAATAAGCCTAGTGCTTTTCTACAATCAACAATAATTCTGTATCAACAATCTAAGCTTTCTTTCTCAATCTATCTATAGGTCCTCTGTTATATCAATCAATCTAAACTTTTCTTTCTATATCTAATTCTGTATCAACAATCCAAGCTTTTCTATCTAATTCAGCAAGCATCAACGAATCTAAGCTTTCTTTCTCTATTGTAATTCTGTATCAACAATCTAAGGTGGAAACAACCCCTTTCTCTATCTAATTCTAGTGTATACAATCAACAATAGGTCCTAGTGTTATATACAATCAACAATTGGTCCTAGTGGTATATACAATCAACTGATTGATATCAGAATCACTCCTAGTGTTATATAAATCAGACTGGGGGAGAGACTGTTATATTCTCACTGTATAAGCACAAACTGATCGATATCAGAATCAGATTGTTTCATCCGGCTTGCCACTTGACTGACATTCACAAAACATCCACAATTTCAACTTCCTGTTTTCTGGGAACTCTACTTCAACAATCTATGCTTTCTTTCTCTATCTAATTCTGTATCAACAATCTAAGCTTTCTTTCTCTATCTAATTCTGTATCAACAATCTAAGCTTTCTTTCTATATCTAATTCTGTATCAACAATCTAAGCTTTCTTTCTCTATCTAATTCTGTATCAACAATCTAAGCTTTCTTTCTCTATCTAATTCTGTATCAACAATCTAAGCTTTCTTTCTATATCTAACTCTGTATCAACAATCTAAGCTTTCTTTCTCTATCTAATTCTGTATCAACAATCTAAGCTTTCTTTCTCTATCTAATTCTGTATCAACAATCTAAGCTTTCTTTCTCTATCTAATTCTGTATCAACAACCTAAGCTTTCTTTCTCTATCTAATTCTGTATCAACAACCTAAGCTTTCTTTCTCTATCTAATTCTGTATCAACAACCTAAGCTTTCTTTCTCTATCTAATTCTGTATCAACAATCTAAGCTTTCTTCTAATTTTCTCAATCTAATTCTGTATCAACAACCTAAGCTTTCTTTCTCTATCTAATTCTGTATCAACAACCTAAGCTTTCTTTCTCTATCTAATTCTGTATCAACAACCTAAGCTTTCTTTCTCTATCTAATTCTGTATCAACAATCTAAGCTTTCTTTCTCTATCTAATTCTGTATCAACAATCTAAGCTTTCTTTTCTATCTAATTCTGTATCAACAATCTAAGCTTTCTTTCTCTATCTAATTCTGTATCAACAACCTAAAGCTTTCTTTTCTATATCTAATTCTGTATCAACAATCTAAGCTTTCTTTCTCTATCTAATTCTGTATCAACAATCTAAGCTTTCTTTCTCTATCTAATTCTGTATCAACAATCTAAGCTTTCTTTCTCTATCTAATTCTGTATCAACAACCTAAGCTTTCTTTCTCTATCTAATTCTGTATCAACAATCTAAGCTTTCTTTCTATATCTAATTCTGTATCAACAATCTAAGCTTTCTTTCTCTATCTAATTCTGTATCAACAATCTAAGCTTTCTTTCTCTATCTAATTCTGTATCAACAATCTAAGCTTTCTTTCTCTATCTAATTCTGTATCAACAATCTAAGCTTTCTTTCTCTATCTAATTCTGTATCAACAACCTAAGCTTTCTTTCTCTATCTAATTCTGTATCAACAATCTAAGCTTTCTTTCTCTATCTAATTCTGTATCAACAACCTAAGCTTTCTTTCTATATCTAATTCTGTATCAACAATCTAAGCTTTCTTTCTCTATCTAATTCTGTATCAACAATCTAAGCTTTCTTTCTCTATCTAATTCTGTATCAACAACCTAAGCTTTCTTTCTCTATCTAATTCTGTATCAACAATCTAAGCTTTCTTTCTCTATCTAATTCTGTATCAACAATCTAAGCTTTCTTTCTCTATCTAATTCTGTATCAACAACCTAAGCTTTCTTTCTCTATCTAATTCTGTATCAACAATCTAAGCTTTCTTTCTCTATCTAATTCTGTATCAACAATCTAAGCTAAGCTTTTTCTTTCTGTATAGCTTTCTTTCTATCTAATTCTGTATCAACAATCTAAGCTTTCTTTCTCTATCTAATTCTGTATCAACAATCTAAGCTTTCTTTCTCTATCTAATTCTGTATCAACAACCTAAGCTTTCTTTCTCTATCTAATTCTGTATCAACAATCTAAGCTTTCTTTCTATATCTAATTCTGTATCAACAACCTAAGCTTTCTTTCTCTAATTCTGTATCAACAATCTAATCAACAATTCTAAGCTTTCTTTCTCTATCTAATTCTGTATCAACAATCTAAGCTTTCTTTCTATATCTAATTCTGTATCAACAATCTAAGCTTTCTTTCTATATCTAATTCTGTATCAACAATCTAAGCTTTCTTTCTATATCTAACTCTGTATCAACAATCTAAGCTTTCTTTCTCTAATTCTGTATCAACAATCTAAGCTTTCTCTATCTAATTCTGTATCAACAATCTAAGCTTCCCATCCTTATGGGAATTCTGCATCTGCATCTGCATCAGCTTACATTCTCCCTGAAATTCTGTATCAATAATTACAGCTTTCTACCTTCTTGGACCTTTACAGCAATAATTTCAGCTTTCCCATCTTCTGGAATTCATACCTGAGTTGCTTTCATTATAGTTTGATGCAGGAGAAAACCCAAGGCAATATGAGCCAACATCAAAGGTCCTCACAGATACCCATAACAGATGCCTTGAAGCGAGACTATTTGAAAGTATGACATTAAAAACCAAAAAACTTAAAAGTTTAATTTCTGAAAGTGGTTATGTTTTCTTTGATGAATTTGTTGTGTACATACCTCATTGTGATTCCATAGTGGCCACTGCCTATAGATGTCCCATACTGAAACAAAGGTGATCAGTGAGTGAGTGAGTCAACATCGTTCACACAGCACTATATGACTGTGTGATATGCAGATGGTGTATATATGATATCCCACTTGTGCAATAACAAAGGTGATCAGTGAGTGAGTGAGTCAACATCAGTCACACAGCACTATATGACCGTGTGATATGGAGGTGGTGTATATATGATATCCCACTTGTGCAATCAGTGTAGAAGTGAGCAGAGCTCACATACCCCCGCTTCCCACTTTGGGACATGGAAATGACTGATATTGATATATATAATGTGACAAAGATCAGCAGCTCACAAGACTTTCTCCTTGACTCTACTAAAATTTATATACATGTTAGATAATAGTTTTGCCATGTACTGATTACAGTAATAATTTATGGAAACATTATTTACCTGACATACAATTGAACTTGACTGTCTCATGTTGCACACAATGAAGTGGACGTAGATGAAGATTGTTACTTTTTAGCACATGGCATATCTGTGGGTCATGATTAACTTGTGTATTAAGTTTGGTGAACCTAGCATGTATAGTTTCGATGATATGCTGTGGCCAGGTAACCATCAAACACATTTTGCACCAAGTCATGTTTCCATGGAAACAACAACAAAACAAATTCTGAAAAAAAATAATTAAAATAGCAAAAGGCACATCAATGGGTTATGATTAACATGTGTGTGAAGTTTGGTGAACCTAGCATGTAAACTTTAAGAGATATGCTCCGGACAAACTTTTGGGACGGAAGGACAGACGGACGGAAGGACAAAATGAACGCTATATACCCCCGTTACGTCGTAGCGGGGGTATAATAACAAAGGTGATCAGTGAGTGAGTGAGTCAAGATCATTCACACAGCACTATATGAGCGTGTGATATGGAGATGGTGTATATATGATATCCCACTTCCGGTCTATCCTTGTCAAACAAGTGTAGGTTTATATGTCTTTACACTTTCCTTTGTTACTGCTCTACCCATCTCTACCATTGACATTCTAACTCTACCAGAAGCATCTGGGCTCTACCACTGGTATATTTTTGTTCATATTTTATGCATGTTTCAGCCACCTTTATTGACATGGAATGGGGTATCACTAATTTACACCCATCTTTTCTGCAGTGTACCAGTCAGTACACCAACAGTGAGGCCCAATGGCAACTAGTTACCTATGTTACTTGAACATTTGGTGTAAACACCTACAAATTGTGATGCCCAGGAACCCGACATCAACAATGTGGTTTCTTCAAATTACAATGTTAAACTTACCATCTTAAACTAAAAAAAAACTATATTTGAAACTGATAATGTTATCATTATTAGTATGTGGTGGTATGTGGTCATGTGCAGAGCCCAGGTCGCTAAAAAGTTGAAATTACGCAACATTGATCATGGAGAGTCCTTAGATGGGTGACCGTGTTTGGCAGCTTGGCTCCTGAGTTTGTAGGACTTCAGTCCTGCCCCACAACAAAACACATGTGATACATGTGGTCTTACCTTAGGCAAGTGAGTTTGTTCATGAATTGCCTCAGTTCACCCAGTAGTGAATGGGTACCCGATGGGATAAGTCATATGACTATAAACCTTAACAAGCATCTTGGGTTATCCAGAGTAATGATGTCTATCATGTTGTATGAGCTGAGAGCATGTCCCTGTGGCGTGGAGTTCAGCGCTATATATGTGGCCTTTTAATATCCTGCAGAGACATATGTCCCTTGAATTCACCAGAAAATGACAGCCAGGGACAAACATCACATTGAATTTGTGTCTCTACAGTTGAACATATACATAATTAATCAACAATTGAATCCCAGTCACCCATACTCTAACAACCTCACTCACATATCTACTCTAACTCACATCTCTCATCTCACACTTACTCTTTCAACCTCACTCACTCAACCACTAGCCACCTTCTCACCTCACTCACACCAACTCTCTCAACTTCACTCACTCAACCATCCACTCACTCACACCAACTCTATCAACCTCACTCACTCAACCACTCACCCATCCACTCACTCACACCAATACTCAAAACCTCACTCACTCAACCACTCGCCCATCCACTCACTCACACCAATACTCAAAACCTCACTCACTCAACCACTCACTCACCCATCCACTCACTCACACCAACTCTCTCAACCTCACTCACTCAACCACTCACCCATCCACTCACTCACACCAACTCTCTCAACCTCAATCACTCAACCACTCACCTATCCACTCACTCACACCAACTCTCTCAACCTCACTCACTCAACCACTCTCCCATCCACTCACTCACACCAACTCTCTCAACCTCAATCACTCAACCACTCGCCCATCCACTCACTCACACCAACTCTCTCAACCTCACTCACTCAACCACTTGCCCATCACTCACTCACACCAACTCTCCCAACCTCACTCACTCAACCACTCACTCACCTATCCACTCACTCACACCAACTCTCTCAACCTCACTCACTCAACCACTCACTCACACCAACTCTTACTGAGTTTAGTGAGACTACTGCCGACAAAACATCAGTCAGTGATTTATTGGTCCGATGCGTTGAGGGAACCACAGGTAAGCACAGGTAAGCACAGGTAACCACGGTTATGGGTATTGTTATGAGTCTGATGAACCAGTGATTAAGAAAGTGAGCACTGACACACACCACTTGTCCAAGGTGACGAATGTAATGTCTCCATGGTTACACATCAATGTTCTCTTAAAACAAAAAGGCCACTGACACAGAATCAAATCTCTTGCCAATGACACTGACACAGAATCAAATCATTCAAATCAGAGACCATATAATCTATTATATGGTCTCTGTTCTAATGAAGAAACAAAAGTAATCCTAAACCTTATTCAGTTCAGCTGAAAGCAAATGTCTAGTTATGGTACATGTACCCAAATAATATATTTATTTTCAAAACAGCTGTCTGGAAACATAAACATTTAGCTGTCAGTGTTATCTCCAATATTTTATCTTGTTGATTTTCTATCATCATAAAAGTGAACATATATATCCCCTACAAAGAGGGTCAAGTCTTAACAAGTCTTAACACACCTGTTTATCTGAGAAAGGACGTGTTCAGAGTAACCTCCCTTAGCCTCAGTGACCAGCTGTCACTTTGCCACATAAACAGCAACCCAGTCATGTGACGTGCTGTACAGCACGCAGGTATTGTAGTTCAAGGCCGGGGACTGTAGCATATAGGTGGCTCTTTTAAGCCAACCTTATGAAATATGTATATTTCAAAACAACCAGATCCAGGGGAAGATATGTTCTGGTCCTTTGGCATCATTAAAAGGAGACCTCTCAAACCAAAATGTGTTAAGGAAACCTTTCCAAACCACAATCCTTTACAATATCCACTGTTTAAAGGAAACCTTTCCAAACCACAATCCTTTACAATATCCACTGTTTAAAGGAAACCTTTCCAAACCACAATCCTTTACAACCACAATTCTTTACAACATGCACTGTGTAAAAGAAACCTTTCCAAACCACAATCCCTCACATCTACTGTGTAAATGGAAACCTTTCCAAACCACAATCCTTTCCAAACCACAATCCTTTACAACATCCACTGTGTAAAGGAAATCGTTCCAAACCACAATCCTTTACAACAAGCCAAGTATAACTTATCTAATTACAGACAAATACATTTAACTGATTCTGCCATAATGAAGTGGAAAGAGTTGAAATCAACCAGACCAAGAAGGACAACACAAACAACCCAAGTTTAGGCTGGTTAGTACCAGCGTCAGAATTGCCTATCTTTATTTTGGTCTATACATTACTCCTATACTAACAAAAGGCATTGTTCACCGCTATAGGAATATACAAAATATGGGCCAAAAACTGTACCTTTAGGGAGGCATACATACATACATACATCAGATGTACTTGTTGGCAATTTACTAACACAGTGTGATCTTCCTTCCATACACACTAGTGTTGGGAATTGGTTGAAATCTCACAATTGATGATTGGTTCAATACCAACAACCAATCCACGAAAAAAAATTGGTTAGCGTCATTTTTTAGATTTTCCTATTCAGGTTGTAGTTGCAGATAAGTATAAAGAAAAAAACATTTGGTTCTCTGTTTGTTTTTTTAGAAACTGCACAAATTACATTTGCAGATTTCACATCCAGTGTAAAATGATTCAGTTGCAGTGTAACATTAACTTCCCAGATTCTTCAAGAAATATTCAGTCATGACTTTTCAGAAAGTGAAGTGACTTTTCTTAGAAATAAACACATTTTCAGGCCCTTACAATGTCCTAGATATGTTCCATCACCAAGTATTTCAAACTCTATTATAGCGGTTCCAAAATCGTTTGTGTTCGATTATGAGAAAATGTGATCGATTGCTTGGTCGTTTGGCCACTGCGACCAATCTTCGATTATTTCAATTAATCGGACCACCACTAATACACACACAGTTTAACGCAGCAATAATCCAGCTATATTGCGGCAGTCTGTAAATAATCAAGTCTGGACCAGACAATCCAGTGATCAACAGCATGAGCATCTATCTACGCAATTGGGATACGATGACATGTGTCAACCAAGTCAGCGAGTCTGACCACCCGATCCTGTTAGTCGCCTCTTACGATAAGCATCCCATGCACATACAGTCTTATAGAACGAAGGTGATTGGCCACTGAATAAGCGCTGGGTTCCGAACGGAAGGTGCAGTCTGAAGATCTCAGATCCACTGACCACCTCATAGCTTGAGAATTTTCATGTTTTTATTGAACAAGGTGAAGTACATTAGTAATTTGAGGGAAAAAAGGATTTTTATCCATGTTTTGTCCCTCTTTGTTATCTCAGAGAGGGTCAGGTCACTGTCCTCTGCTCGCCGCCATGACACAGAGTAGGTCAGCCCGACCTGGAGGAGGAGCCCCGTGCATCATGGGCCATACATTCAGGTCTGGTTAGCCTGCACCATCGCACTTGACAGCCTGGTAACGATTAAATCAG